GGGGATGTCCGGGGTGGCCTCAGCCCAGCCCAGCCGGTGAGGGTCACACAGCTGGGGAGTTGAGCGAGGGCGGAAGCTCTGTGTGTGTCATTACAAGGATCGGAATCTCTCTCGACCCCCTTTTGCCCCATGGGTCACAGGCTGCGGGCAGCCGTTGTCTGGAGCAGCTGGGCACTCTGGACACAGCAGCCTCTCCCTGAGCTTTGGCTGAGTGAATGAACCCACCACGTGTCACCTCCGGCGATCTGTCCCCATGCGACTGTCTCTGGCGGAGTTTGGTGAGGGTGGTGTTTTGGCCCATGGCAGCTGGCACGATGAGGAACGTGACGCTTCTGCCAAGTCTTTTGTCAGCGGGCACAGAGCTGCAGCGCGGGCACATCCTCTGACAGAACCTACTCTGACGATCCGTGGTTTGGAAGGAGAGGGAGGCAGGCGGGCTCAGGGAGCCCTCCCAGAAGTGGTGTGGAGGGGAAGCCTGCGACAGTGCAGATATCCCCATAGGAGACCGTGCTGTGGGCTGCAAATGCTCGCCGGACACGGTGCTGCGTGGCTGTGAGTGAGTGTGACGCCAGGGAGACGACTGGCACTGAGAGAGACAGTGTGCCAACAGCCTCTGGGTAACGACCATGAGTGCAACAACGACAGGCAGACAGATCTCGACGGAGTGAGAGCACATGGGAAAGGAGAGTGCTTCACTGGCTCTTAGCAGCCCGCAGGCCTCCCTGGACCCTGCCCGGGCCTTCCGTGTGGCCACACAGTGACTGCACAGCTTCGGAGGTGCTGTGGGGGCAGCTCTGCTCGTGGTGACCTCAGGCACCGCACCACAGCCCCGAGCTATCCCCTCAACTCGTGGTGACACCGTGCATGACACCACAGCCCTGCAATGTCCCCCCAACTTGTGGTGACCCCATGCACGGCACCACAGCCCCGTGATGTCCCCTGACTTGACCCCATGCATGGCACCACAGCCTCTCACTATCCCCCTCGCCCCCCATGGTGACCCTGTGCACAGCACCATGGCCGGCCCCGTGCCATCTGTGGCTGCTTTTGAAACTGTTGCAGCAGCTGCCCGGGGTCTTTTCATCTTTGCCCAGCACAGTGCCCCCCTTCCAGGGACAGAGCGCTCCTGGCACCATGCTCAGGGCCGGGCGCTCGCCGGCTGCACCGGTGCCCGTGGGGATCTGTGCTCCTCCACCGTCCTCGGGCAGTGCCTGCAGCACCACCATCGTTCAGGAGCGCCAGGCGGGCTCTGGTCTCCCTTACACGGCTTCTGTGTGCAGAGGGGCAGCACGTGACATGCAGCGCCACCAGGGCATTCTGTGTGTCTGTGTCCACCGGGGATACGTGCGTGTGTGTGAACACACATGTGCACATACACATCGTGGCCCCCATTTATGACGTCATTGTGATATCAAGAACCACGGGTTTTATTTCCTTTCTTTCTGCATCTCCTCGTTGGTCGTCTGCACTCACACACGCCCTGCAGCCCAGAATCTGCTGATTTCCTTGTTCTCAGATGCTGGTTTTTAATCACTGGTAAGGCTCGCTGTGCACCTCACCATCCCGGTCTACGGCGAGTTGGTGCTGGTGATGGGAGTCACGATGGGACGGAAGTTGGGGGTCCAGCTCTCACCACGCACAGCTATTGGATGCAGGGGCACCTCTTTTGGCCCAGCCTCTTGTCCCCAGTGCCACTGTCACCAGCCTGTGGGGGTGGTCCCATGCTGTATGTCACAGCACGGGACATTAGCCTTGTTATCACGATGCCAGTGTCACTGTCATCTAGCCTGTGGACATGATCTGTGTCAGATAGTAGTAATTAAAGGCAATAGTAGTGAATGCAGACATCAGAGTACATGAGGTATGTGGCCTGGAGAACTGACGGAGTGCCATCAGCCGCTCTGTTGCTGTCCACACGTGTGTATGTCCACACACACCCTGCCCACTGAGCCGTTAGGTCTCGAGTGTCGTGCTGTGTAGCTCGTGGACGTGGACACAGTGAGACCCCACAGGCAGGACCCTGTGCCGGATGCTCTTAGAACCCAAAGTGAATCATGTGAATTCTGCCCAGGAAGCCACAGCCATGAAGTATGTGGGTTCCGACACCTGACCAGGACTTAGCCCGCTCACGGCTTCCAGTCACTCGGCTCAGTGACCCTGCGGGGTGGCCCTGGGCTTCCACGGCTGTAATTCTCACGGAAGTGGACAGCCACAGCCATCTCCATGGAGCATGTGGGTTCCGACACCTGACCAGGACTTAGCCCGCCGCACCACCAGACTCTGTGATGCGGGGCAGAGTCTCGTGATGTGACATGCTCAGGGTTTGTCTGGCGTTCCGAGGAAGGGCTCTCCCTGAGCGCGGCCTGGTTCCCTCTGCAGCCTGCTTTCACACCTGTTCCTCTCACTCGAGCCAGGAGCCCAGGTGGGGAGAGGAGGCACCTTGCATGGAGACCCCATCGTGGCTCACCAGCCCGGGGTGTTCTGCGGTGCTGCTGGACCTCAGCTGACCCCGCCAGGTGCAAATGACATTAGCCCGGGCCTCCTCGTCGGCCTCTTCCTGCCCGCAGGAACAATGACCTGCAGGAAATAAGATGCAGCAGGACATTTATTTTTATTTATGAAGGGAAAACTCTCCTCAGGAGCCCTCCCGACTCTTCCTGGGGAATTAGCAGCTGTCTGGACCCGGCAAAGACCAGGGAGAGACGGGCCTGGGAAGGTGACCTTCGGCAGAAGGCGCAGGGTGGCAGCCCCAAGAGTTCCACTCGGGACCTTGCAGCACGTGGGGGTCAGTCAGGTGGGGTGATGAGAGAATGGACATCGAACGATTTCCTCTCCTGCTGTCAGGTGTCGTGGTGACAGACCTGTGAGTCAGGTGGCCCGGCTTGTGAAGCCTCGTAAATGCAGACGGACGTGCTCGGCTACACTAGTGATCGTCACGTAGAGATGCCTGCATGGAAGGAACAGCCCGTTGCCGGCAGATGGAGACAGTCGGGAAACGAGGGCTCTTGTCCGTTTCCTGCTCACGTCTCTCCCAGGGCAGTTGTCACGGCGCGCACGCCAGCTGGTGGTGGGTCTATACTCACCCGGACGGCAGCGTCCTGTGGCGTGGACAGTCATTACGTCCTGTGGTATGGACAGTTGTCACGGCCCTCACACTGGTGGACGGTGGCCTGTACCCACCCGGACAGTGGCATCGTGCAGTGTAGACAGTTGTCACAGCCCACACTCCAGCTGATGGTGGGTCTGTACCCACCCAGACAGCATTGTCCTGAGGTGTGGACATTTGTCACGGTCCACACTCCGGCTGATAGTGGGTCTGTACCCCCTCGGACAGCATCACCCTGCTCCCTACTTAGCTACCCTTATGTCTGTCTGTCCACCTACACGCCTCTTTCTCTCTTCCATTCTCCTCTAGTCTGAAAGTCCTTACTGCAGTGGAGGCGACTCCTCGAGAGGTGGGGCCCATTACGGAGCCTCATGCTTGTGTCCGGGGTGTGGTGTGTGCTGCACTTGGACCTGAGCTCCTGGAGACCTTGAAAGGCCACGCACACCAGGCTTACTTCTCACTCACGGGCCTGGGTTGACTGATGAGGTCCCCGTGATGCTGAACACTTACACCCGGGGAGAGAAGGGGAGTCCTCCGCTGAGCTGGGCCGTAAAGGGACGGGAATCCCTGCCCACCAGCCCGCAGAGCCCTCCCTGCCTCTCAGCCGGGTCTTCAGAGACGTTGTGTCACAAGTGGCCCTGTACCCCTTGGCGATGGCCTCCGCCCTCAGAAAAGTTGCAGCTGACCTGTCGGCTCCTCAATGGTGACTGTCCACACCGCAGACCGACGCTGTCCAGGTGGACACAGACCCACCACCAGCTGGTGTACAGGCAGTGACAACTGTTCACACCGTAGGACGATGCTGTCCAGGTGGGCACAGACCCACCGTCAGCCAGTGGGTGGGCCGTGATGATTGTCTGCACCGCAGGACGACGCTGTCTGGGTGAGTCCTGGCCATGACCAGCTGGTGCGCAGGCAGTGACAACTGTTCACACCGCAGGACGACAGTGTCCGGGTGGACACAGACCCACCGTCAGCCAGTGTGTGGGCTATGATGATTGTCTACACCGCAGGATGACGAGTCCGGGCCATGACCAGCTGGTGCGCAGGCTGTCGTGACCCACCGAGGCTTTCGCTGTCCCATGTCCAGAAGTGAGTCAACAGCCTTGGTTCCTGCCTTGTCTTTGCCTGGAAGTTCTGCTGAAACCTGCTCAAGTTTCCATCAACAGGCAGCCCGTTGCTGACCGGTGGGCAATGTCTGTGTGTGACACACGTTGGCCCAAGAGCAGAAGCTGCAGCAGCCGTGTCACCACTGTCCCGGGGTAATTGTGACCAGCTCGCTGCTTTTTGCTGGTGTAAGGAGAGAAAGCCGAGTCAATGCTGGGGTCAACGCTAGATGTTTGGGGTTTGCCTGGACCTCACTCTGCAGTACACACTTGGTGCTTGTGAACATCAGCTCGTCTGTTTACTCACAGGAGTGCCTTCTAACCCACGTGCAGAATGGTTTTAAAGTCTCCTGTCCCTGAAGTGGACTCTTCACAGTGATATTCTGGGAGAAGGACGGGATTCTTTGCAGAACCTTAAGAAAACGCCTGTGTCCTGCTTCATCCTGCCCAAAGCGGGGATTCAGTACTTGTGAACTGCATTCACGAGCCACCTCAGTGCACGGTGAAAGGCTCAGCTTAGTGACAGTTAATTCTCCAGGGACTTGACTGAGCTGGGTTAGGACCTGCTGGGGGGCCGTGTGCTGGCCTCTCAGTGCAGGGGCCAGGGGAAAGCGTGGCAGGGGGTGTTTGTGGGCATGAGGCTGCGTCCACACTCACTTTGACGTTGTTGCCAGGGTGGCACCGTGCTCAGTCGGGTTTTAGTGGCTGAGTTTTCAAGAGGAGTTAACTAGGCTTTTCTCCCCAGGCCCCTCGGCACATGAACTTGAACTTGCACTGTCTTGTTAGCAATGGCGGGCATGCTCCCCCTGCTCTTGGTGGCCGAGGGAGTGGAGACTGGTGGGCGCAGCTTGTCTGCAGTAAGGGCTTCCTGCCGAGTTTTGTTGATAGGTGCCATCGAGCCACCTGCAACTCATAGTGACCCTGTGGAGGAAAGGGCTTGAGCCTTGTCCGGTCCTGCACCAGCTGCACCAGCTCTATGCTGCCGTCGTTGTTAGAGCCATCGAGTCAAATATGGCCCATAGTGACCCTGGAAACAGCAGATCTGAGCTCTGCCCTGTCCTGTGCCGTCCCCACCGTCTCCAACGTGCTCACGCCCATCGCTGCAGCCACTGTGTCAGCCCAACTCACTGAGGGGCTTGCTCTCATTCTCTGACCCCCTCTTCCCAGCATGATGTCCTTTCCAAGGACGCCCCCCCCCAACATGAAGGAGTTTAAGAAGGCAGATTGAAACCAGATTTGTCTTACTATTTTAGAAGAATTAATGAGTGACATAATAGGAGTCACATTTGCAGATAATTACATTGGCATTGATGTGCAAAAGTGAGAGGGGCTCTAAGGGGCACCTGGTTGCACTTCCTCTGAGAAAGAGCTTTATGGAAAGGAGGGATTTGAACCTTCTTTTGTGGGTCTTTCCAAGTCATATGTACTTTCCCGCATTCCTGAGCTCTTTGCCTTTGTTCATGCTTTTCTCTTCGTGGGGAGCATTGTTCTTGTGTCTTCATATGGTCAACCCATCTTAACCTGCAGATCTTGGCTCTGGTGACTGGAAATCTCTCACAGATTCTATCGGGGCCAACTCCCCACCCTCCTTTGCTTCTGCAGAGGCCCCTCCTGGTGCTTCCGCGGGGACACTTCGCTTTTGTGCACTGGGGCGGTCTTGCTGGCTGCGGGCCGTCCACTGCTCCCGGTAAGCTTCCCTGCTGGCCAGCCCTCAACTGTTCCAGGTTGGCTTCCCCACTGGCCCTCCTCTGCTCTGCACTGGCAGAGTCTGAGCTCCAGGAGACAGCCAGCCTTGGTCAGTGCTCTGTCGCCCTTGGTGGGCCGGCGCAGGGCCAGATGGTGCTTTGTTCTCTTGTACCCAGAGTATAAGAGGTGAACTCTGTGAGCTGACCCCCACCACCTCTGTTCTGTTCTTCACTTCTCTTTGTCTTTCTCGCTTGTGTCACCTTTCTTCACAGCCCTGTTCTTTCAGTGACTCTTTCAGAAGGCTGTGGATTCATGAACTCATGGGGTCTGTGTGCCTCGCTAGACCACCTCATTGAGTGAGATTTTGTAGAATGCATGAAACTCCAGTAGCCTGCATGCTTGGCACAGCCCACTGTGTCTGGAGAACTGGCTTGCATCTAGAACTCTGCAGAGTCCAGTCCAGGATGGTGGAGGCCAGCCTGCTGCAGTGGTGAGCCCCGGAGGATGGGCGTGCCATTGATAAGGAAATGCCTGGCTGAGCTTTGGTGGAGTGCTGGTGGTGCGATCTAACCCTAACCCACCCTCACAGCCTTGGTTTGATCTGAGTCCTTGCGACCCTCTGCGCATTTTCGAGGCTTTGCATCAGACAGAAGCAGGACAGCTCTTCTGCAGACCGCGTGACCAGCGGATTTGAACTTCTGACCTTTTGGCCTTGCAGCCCCACGCATTATGCAGGACACACTCAGCTTCTTAACAGAGAATATGGGAAAGGGAGCTCTGGTGGCCTAGTGGCAAGAAGTTGCACTGCAATCCCAGAGGCGTGCAGTTCAAATTCACCAGATGTTCTGCTGGAGAAGGAAAGGCAATCTCCTCCTGTACCAGTCAGATTTGATTTGACGGTACACACACACAATTTTTTTTTTTTAAAAAAGTTAATCTGCGTCATGGAAAACTCCTGCCTTGGGGCCTGACTTAGCCAGGCACATGTCAATGTGGTCACACCCTTCTGGGGGAGGAGGGCTGCATCCTGGACCTTCCTTTCTTCAGGGACACTGTACAGGTGTTGTTCAGGGCACGCTGGACACATGTGCGTCAGTCACCAGACTAAGAGTGTTCTCTCACCATGGACGAGACCAGGCCCCCTCCCCCAGCTTCCTCCAACCCAGAGCACTTCCTAAGGCCTGCTCTGCTTTATGCTTGTGATTGTGTGTTGTTGACTGCTGTGTAACTGTGAGCTCAGAGCTCAGGGTCTGAAGCGCACCTGTGCTTTTTACCCCTCAGTTTTCTGGGAGCAGGAATCTGGGCCCACCATGGCTAGGTTCTTGGAGTTGCAGTCACTCAAGCAACGGCCACCACGGGTCAGCCAGGGCTCGGCCGGGACAGGCTCACACAGCATGGCTTCTGGCCCAATTCAGCTTCTCCACAGCTGTTGGCTGGAGGCTGCCCTTAGTTCTTGGCCAGGTGAATCCCTGTGTGTGGGTCGTGTACCACGGCCACCTACTTCTCCACCAGCACAAGTGAGTGAGGCGGTCCGGAGAGAGCGAGCAGGCCTGGAACTACAGACTTCGCAGCCAAACCTTAGAAGTGACGCCCATCGCTTTACTGTGTTCTCTTTGTTAGAAGTCAGTCTCTCAGTCCATCCAGGGCTCGGGCACAGGCGACTTAGATGAGGGCATGTGTACTGGGAAGTGGAGATTATAAGGTTCATCTTAGCAGCCACCTTCTAGGGGAGCTCTGGGAGCCTAGTGGGTAAGGAGTTGCTCTGCCAGCCCAGAGGCAGATGGCTCGAATCCACCGGCTGCTCCAAAGGAGGAAATGAACGAAATCTCCTCCTGTGTGATTTTCAGTCTCTGAACATTCACTGGAGGGTCTGCTGTGCATGGTTCTGACTTGACAGCTCACAGAAACAGCAGGAGCTCCTACTGTGTTCAGGAGATTCCCAGGATTACACAGCACACTCAGAAGTGAGTAGTCAGCTACTGTAGCTACAGAGAGGCTGCAGACAGGTACATCTCTTAAGTGGTTCTTAGAAGAGTTGGTAAAAGCTGATCTTTTCTCCATCTTTAAACTTTTGTTAGAAACCACGTCTTCAAGATGCAGGAGTAGACGGAGCCCGTGTGCCTACAGTCCTGGTCCGTGTGGCATCGTCAGCTGGGAGGGCAGGACTCAGCATCCCTGGCCAGCAGCCAGGGAGAGGCCTGGGACGTGGGCTCACATGTGCACTGGCCCTCTCTCACCCACACTCTTCTTCCTCATCCTCCTCCAGAAAACCCGGAGCGGGCGGCCCTCTATTTTGTCTCTGGCGTGTGCATCGGGCTGGTTCTCACCCTGGTTGCCTTGGTGATGAGAATATCTTGCCACACAGACTGCCGGCGGCACCCCACCCGGAGGAAGTTCCTGCCGGACCGAGCAAGCAGCAGCGAAGGCAGTGACAGTGATGAGGATGGAGGCTCCGACTCAGCGTCCGACCTCTCGGTCCGCAGACACCGGCGCTTCGAGAGGACGCTCAACAGGAACGTGTTCACCTCGGCCGAGGAGCTGGAGCGTGCCCAGCGCCTGGAGGAGCGGGAGCGCATCATCAGGGAGATCTGGATGAACGGGCAGCCTGAGGTGCCAGCCACCCGCAACCTCAACTGCTACTACTAGCAGCCTGGGCTGCGGTGGGATGGGTCCAGGGGCCGGAGAGGACTCAGGCCTGCCCAGGCCGGGGCCGGGAACCCGGCCCAGAAGCTGGTCACGGCTCCTGCTCTGACCGTGCCGACAACAGAGGAGCCTCGTGGGCCACTCGCCTCTCCAGAAGGCTGATGGTGCCCAAATCGGTCCCCAACGCAAGGTGGAAGCCCGACGTGTGGACTCTTTCTCTGCCCTCTAAAGCTTTTGGCTGATTCTATACCTTTGTCCAAGCAAAGGTATTTCCACAGGAGGGTGAGGCATAGCAGGGCACCCTGAACCCCATCCATGCGAGCTTCTAAACCAGTCCATGCTGGGAGGTCATTTTGATCCAGGTAGCACGGTCTGTGCTTATTATTTATGGTTAATTTTTTAATCTTGTGTTGCGATGGCAATGCTGTCCACTTTGACTGGCACCTCAGGGAATAAAATCCTATTTTTTAGTGCATTTTCCACCTCATTCATAAAAATGAATAAAATGTTTCTATTATGGAAGATGTGTCAGCAAACTATAAAATGTACATAACCTCAAAGGATGAAGGGTTTTTATTTTAAATACTTTATGAAATATATTAATAATGTGTATTTGAAAATGCTGCAGCAGAATGAATATGTGGGTTTCATCCCCCTTCTGGAGAGAAGATTTTTTTTCTCTATAACTCCAGATAATCCAATTGTAAACATTTTACATAAAAGATACAGTAACTGTGGATTTCCAAGGAAGGAGTAAAAATGAGGGAGGATAAGGAGTAATAAATTAGGATGGGACTGAGAAATAAATGTGACATGAAATCTTGCTTTTCTGTCTGATTCTGTGACGTTCTGCTTAGCAACACTGCTGTGTCAGTATGTGTGGTCTTTTGCTGGCTCTTCAAGGACTGGGACAGAGAAATAGTCGCTATGTGACCATGACCTTTCCTGTGTGTGATTGTGTTATTGTTTGGTAGGTAAAAGAAGCCTCAATGAACGGCTGGAAATAAGGTGGTGTGGCTGCTGGTGGTGAGGAGACGTCAGTGAGGACGGAACAGGGACAAGGCTGGTCCATGTTTGGATTGTTACAAAGGAGGAAGACTACAGAGGAGGAAGACGAATGCTTGTTGACTCTCCTCTCACCTTGCAGTAACTTTCTTATCAGTGACTGAAGATGCTGGAACCTTCCACCGACATCTCCCTGATCCATTAGCTTTGGGACCACACCTGTGCGGAGGCTCGGGGATTCCCCTGGTGGGACTCACGTTACTTTTGCAGCCCACACCCTGTTCCAGGGGTTGCAGGTCTGTCTGAAGAAGTGAGCACTCACAAATCTCTGTTTACCAAGAAGGTAGTCCAAGTTTGTTTGAAGCCACTGAGGACAGAACTCACTTTAGGTGGGCTCACTGACAGGTACCAAGAATCTTGTTACATCAGAATCGCTGAACCCTTATGTTTCCAGCTCCTTGGCCGCAAGTGTGGGAGCTGTCCCACCGTTCTTGGAGCAGTATTAACATCATCTACTATCATGGTCTGTGCCTCCTACAGAAAGGAAACAGTTGTGAGCTGACTTCCCCACTGGGGTACGTCCAAGGCTGCTGTAAGGAGTGTGAGGACCCTGGTTATACACGGCTGCAGGTGGTAAAGGCGTGGGAAGGAACTGGCCCACCCAGCCTTTTCTACGTCTCCCCCTAATATCCAGATACCATTCTACCAAGTTCATAGAATGGGGAGGGGACATGATCTGAGGCACAAAAAACACCAGGTCACAGTTTAGTCACTTGCTTCATTTCTGTATATACAAAAATCAGTGCTTCGGGAAAAGGTAGGGAGACCTCCGACTGTGACCTTCCTTACCTTGACTCCGTCCTCGTCTTGTGCAATATGAGTGTGAGAGGGGTCAGTCCCTGGAGAAGGAGGTAAGTTTAGCAGAGAGCCAGTGAGAAGAGGGAGACTTTCAGTGTGTGGATTGGCACAGTGGCAGCAACACTGTGCTCAGACGTGGCAGCCCTTGTGAGGGTGGTGTCTGAGCAGGCTGGCCTTTGTCTTGTTTTACTGCATTCCCCAGTGTCCCTTGTAGTAAGATGGTCATGCCGTGTATCCTAGTTCTGCCCAGGAGAACACCACAGGCTTACCTGCTTGCCTTCTTCTGTTTCTTTGGAAGCCTGGCCCACAAGGCTTTTCATTTGGTCCTCTGTGCTTTCCCTGCCCACTGGTTAGAAGTCTGCAGGAAGTTTCAGAATTCCAAGGAGTCTTTGTTGCTGTGATGTGTCATCGAGTCAGAACCAACCCAGAACTTACCCTCCAGCAGGTTTCCAGAGGACATACATGGCATGGGATAGGTGTGCCTGTATTTCTCCCATGGAGCAGCTGGTGGACTTGAACCTCGTGCCTTTGAGATGGTAGTGCCGCTTCTTACCACTAGGCCACCAGAGCTCCCCTAGGGAGTGGTAGAACTGCAGAATGCAAGGTGCCTGGGTTTCTGGGTGAGCACACAAGGCCCCACTGTTAGAAATGGAATTCCCTCCCTCCCAAGCATGTCCTGGCAGCCTACTCCCTGGGCCTGTCACTGAAAGTAATCCTGTCTAGAGACGGTTTTCTTTGTTACGCTGCTAAGGTCATATCCAGACAGGATCACATGTAAACTTTATCATGGCTCAGTTAGAAACAAAAATCAGTAAAAATCAAATGCCTTCTATCGAGTCCATTTTTAATCCTAGAAGCCCTGTAGGACAGAGTAGAAGGGTCCCGTGGGGCTTCAGGGGCGCTCTGGGGGAGTCATACATGGGAGTTGCAAAGCTAACCCAACGACCGTACGTACCTCTCCAGTTGAAGTGACCAGCCGTTCCCTGGGAGGACAACAGGCCATCTGCTTTTGGGTGACTTTCAGCCTCAGAAACCCAGTGGAGGGTTAATCACGTGTTGGTCCTGACATGACAGCTCTTGAGAGCGAGCGAGCTTCTGAGACATCATCTTTACAGAAACAGACTGCAGATCTGGCTTTTTGAAGAGCCGAAGGTGATGATGAACTGCCCACCTTTAGGTTACCAGCTGAGCATTTACCCAGTGTGTGACCAGGGCTTATGGAAGAAGACACTGTGTGAGGACTCACATAGAAGCCGAGAGACCACAGAGGATCCAGCTCTGTGGGAGTTTGCTGTTCTTTAAGGCCCCAGCTGATGGTGCTTCCATTCCGGAGGTATAAGAGTCACGCTGACCATTCAGAGGTAGGAGTTCAAATCCACCTGCTGCTCTGTGGGAGGGAAACGGACCTTGTCCTCCTGTACGAGTCAAAGCCTCTGAACACCTGCTGGGAGGTCCGCTAGGAGCTGACTCCAACTCAGCAGCCCTGTGGACCAAGCCAAGCAGCAGCTGACCGGAACGTCTGCATTGAGTTCCATGTGACCAGGGAGGAGTGGATGAGACAAGGCCTTGAACCTGGAGTTGTGTTTTTGTCAGCTCTGGTTCCAATCCCATATTTCTAAACATGCATCATCTTAAGGATACAGTCCTAAAAATCACAATAACTCTCTTACTTGAATTTGAAGCCTGTTTGATTTTCTCACGCTTTTGAGGGATCTGTGTGTATTTTTGTGTGTTTGTGTTTTGCCTCCACAGAATTGTTAGATATTCTGAACTTCACCCCTGCACTACTCATGGCCCTCTGTTCCCCTTTTATTCTCATATCTTATTTGCGTGTATTTCTTGTGTTCTGCCTCATTGAAGCAAAGTAGGTCAGTGAGATGCTTATCTGCCCTTTCTCATAACTGTCACAAAGCTGCTCCCTCCTGCCCCCAGAGTGGCAGTTCTCATCAAGTCACGTGGACTTGCTCCGCCAGTCTGCTTGGGGCGGAGCGATCTCAGTGTGTCTCAAACGTCCGGGTGCATCTCCTCACCTGATACTGAGGCTGTAGCAACTGGACAGGGTCCCCTGTTCAACGCTGTGTCCAGTCCAGGATTGCCCGTCTTGTAATTGCTGTCATCCCAAATCGGGATCTAGTGATCACCAGGTGTTTCCTCGTACTGAATAGTAGTTTTAATTAACATTGGAAAATGAAAATCGCTAGAAGTCCCCACCTCCAGAGTCTTCTCCAATGCTGTCATCCTGAAAACTTGCATCATTGTTGTTGATTGCCTTCTAGTCGAGCACGACTCATAGCGACCCTATGAACAAAAGGCCTGAAGCCCCTCCACCACTATCAACATTTATCACAGTTCATGGCGTTTCCAGAGGCCTGTTGTTTAGGAAGTGGACGCCACTCCTGCTTCCAGACATACCATAGTATGTTACTATTGTTATGTGCCATTGAGTCGCCTGCAGTATCTGGCGATCCTGTGCATAAATCAAAAAGCAAAAGTGCATAAACCAAAAATTATTAGTACGTGCCATATTGAGGAAGGGGAAGAGGTAAAGAGTTTCTGTTTAGGGTGAATAGGGCCTGCTTTGCTGCTGGTGTGTCATCAGGAAAAGGACAGAATGGTCACACAGCTGCAGCGTCACCCTCATCCCTGAGTTGTTTGGGCAGAGCCTGTTGTATGTATGCTGAACTTTGTATATCACACACACACAGAGTGAGTTCCCTTTCTGATGTTGACTTCTCGAACCGTAAGATTTGCACTGATGCAGGAGTGGCATCCACTTCCTAAACAACATGCCTCTGGAAACCATATGAACTTTGATAAGTGTTGATAGTTGTAGAGGGGCTTCAGGCCTTTTGTTCATAGGGTCACTATGAGTTGTGCTCGACTCAAAGGCAACAATAACAACAAAATTGATAAGGTTGCGGTGATCTGTTAACAGCAGACATAAGAAGCTGATACCTTGTCCACACTCGCACCTCAGGGTGCAGAAAACCTGTCAGCTTCCCAGTCAGTCTCAGTACACTTTGCTCCCGTGGGCAGGCTGAGGGGGAGGGGGAGGGAGAGTGTCAGAGAAAGCAGGCTGCAGGACACAGAGCCACTCACTGGGGGTGGGGGGCTGGAGAAGGGCTCCCCCGGGAAGAGGT